GTTTTTACTAAATTATTTTTTAAAAGTAATAATAAACTTAATTCTTCTCTGCCAGAGTAATATCTTTGTTCGCTAGATGTGTGAAAAGGTCGCGAGCGACAGATGCAAAACAGCATGATGTCGAGACTTCCCTGGAGCGACGATTTAAAAAAGAAAAAACCTTTTTGAAGCCGTGCAAACATAACATTAATTATTATTTCATGAAAACTCCTGTGTAGGTGATATTGGTACAGTAAGGTTGCATGCATGTTGCATAACACATGAACCTTAAAATACACTGTCAGCCGTTATTAACGAATGAGAAATCAGAAGGTTTGTTGTTTAATTTTAAAGTTTCAGACTTTAGCACGGCCATTTCTGTTAGAGAGACTTCAAAGGGATGCACTCTTCATGGCGAAATTGTTTTAAAATGAGACTGAAAGAAGGATTTAAACGCCAAATAACAATCACGAAAACGCAAGAATTATCTTTTTAAGAGGTTCTGTTTACTTAAAAGCAAGTTCAGATGTTGTTGTTTATAGTGGTCAATGGGCTTAATAGTTACTCTTAGTCAGTTCATGTGAAAAACGCGTTCTCTTTCTCTTTTAAAGCTTTTATCTCATAGTTGGATGTGAGGTTCCCAGATAAAGCGGAATAGACCCTCGTAGTGCGCGAACGATGGATTAAAAGTGATAGAGTGCTTGTAAATAATTTTACTTTACTTTTGTTTCTCTCATTCAGCCAGCATTTATTTTGCCATTTGCGCCGCAACTTAAAACAGGCTAGTTTGATCCCCAATAATGTGAAAAACAAATTACCTGATCAAATCGAGGAAGGAGTCCAGATTTCGATGAGGGCCAGTGAGTCGTTTTTGCTCGGCTTCCCGTTTGTTCCCCGATTCACCCGGACGAATGCTTACGACCAGCACAATCCCGAGGATGACGGCCAAGAGCGTGGTCATCAGGTAGTACAGCACTGTGCGTCTGCCAATTTTGCCCGTGGCTTTCGAGTCTAGTGTAGCTAACGCGCATATCAAGCTCGCTACAATTAGAGGAAGGATCAACATCTTGAGCATGTTCATGAACAGTTCACCTGGGAAACCAATTAACATGATCGTTGTTGCTTTTTCCTCCGGGTCCACGATGTCGTTGACGGAAGGGTTGGCGGCAGCGCCGATGATAAAGCCAACCACAACGCCGATAATAATCAGGAAAAGCAGAATGTCCTGCTTTACAATGCGCCAAACCCTCAACCAACAGGAACAACATTTACCAGGCATTCCACTGCCTCCTTTACGCTTCAAAGCGGCCATGACACCTCACTTTCTGGTAACGCGTAGCGGCGTGGAAATCGTTCTCGTGTCCAAGAAGCATTAAATGGAAGAACTAAGCAAGTGTTTTTCTCAACTGCTTTGCATCAAGCTGGGATAGATTAAGCCTTTGTGCATTTACCGAGATGTGCGTCCTTTGTTTCTTTTATTCTACTTCCTGTGGGTTCTTCATTAAAATTTTAAAACCGGGCTTGCCAAGACACGTGTTTTTAAAAGGAACTCTTGGAGTTTCAAATGTCAATAACGGCTTTAACTGTTTTTAATCAATTAGTTATGAACACTCTCAACGCACTAAAAATAAATTTTTAGGCGTAGCAATGTTTTTCGGTTAATGTTTGGCAAAGAACTGACGCAACAACAGTTAACCAGTTCAGACTGAGCTAATGCTAATATTTATGTCAAAAATAT